CATGTCAAATCATACATATGATTGGCCCCAAATTTATTCTGCAGCAGCACAACAACCCCAAACATACAGCCAATGTCACTAGGAACTATCTTCAGTGTAAATAAGAACAAAAGGTGGCATGTCAACACAAGTCTGACCACTAGAATACGGCTACGGGCTGGATGTGCTGCCAAGTAGGCGAAGAAATGTGGTCAGTTTTAAATACGAAAGCAGGAGGACCAACAGGATCACCAGGTATCTAATACAAAGAAAGCAATGTAAAATAAGGATACTTTTTATTACAAGTAGGTGGTAACACAAACACATATCAGAAATATTAACTGTTGAGGTACTATCAGAAAAGCAAAGAGGTGATCAATGTGTTTTTCTGGTATTTCTTTGGATGCGGAGTACTACCGAATCATTTAAGAAAATTTGATCCGCTTGCTCACCATCTGTTGGCAAACTTGATTGATGCCTTGAGGATTCTGCACCATATTCATTGTGGAGTGTTGTTACAGCAACTAAACAATGTATTCAAAGTTGCATAGAGCTCGGAGGCCCCAATGCATATGCGATAGCTACAAAGAAAAATGTATTCAGTTCACCTGCACTAAATTCACAGATAATCCTCATCCCACACCTGCTGTCACAATCTAAAAACAGTCCAGTTAGCCTTGGCTAACTAGAAACCAAATATTTAGAGGTCCTGATGATACATTAGTGAGATCCTAGAAACAACACATGGTGTTTATAATGGAGTCACAAAATGGAGTGAGGACAATGTAAAAATATTAACTGGTGTGCATCCACGATAATGTCAGTTCCTTTAGTAAGTTGAGAACCTTGTGTCAGCCAGTATCATTTTAGAGGCAAATATATTACCTACCATTTTGAACTGTCATGTTAACCATCATACTACTATCTGAGCTTCTGCACTAAAGACTTTCTATGGAGCCACTTTAAGACCTTAGTGAGACCAGGTTTCTACTTCATCTTTTCTTTTCTTTCTTACTTAATACTGACTGCTTCTTTCTATCTGCAGCCCATCAATTGATACCCCTCTTTTGGAAAACAGCCACTCCCCCGCCTCTCCCGATGTGGATTTCTGTGCTTAATGATATCATGCGTATGGAGGAAATGCTAGCATTTGCCAATGATACCTATGATAAATATAAGTTACTGTGGATGGTCTGGCTCCATTTCTCCTCTTCTTCAACTCTCTGAGATACTGTATGTGTTCCTCTGCTGTGCCCTTGGGGAGTTGAACCTTGCTCCCCCAATTCATCCATTTTCGTTTTGGAATGTGCTCCGGCTTGACCCTGCAGACTGCACTTGGGTGCTGGTGGTGAGGTCATCCCGGTGGATACTGATGGAGAACCCGCTTGGTTCTGCTTTTCGCCGTTACCGTTTCCCGACCCTCACTCTTCTTATCTTTCACTACCTCTACAACTATTTTTCTTTTTTCTTCCCCACTTTTTTTTTCTCTTTTTCTCTTCTTTCTTAGCTCAGATATTTATATATGTGGTTGTATGGAGTTTTCTCATTTGGTTTCATACATCTCGCCAGGGATGGCCCCTGGAAATTATGCTTTTTAATAACTCTGTACTTTGTGTTCTCGATCCCCTCCATTTTGCTGATGTATGGAAACATTTTCACTTATTCCCATGGCTCATCGCTACATCTGTGCTATATTTTTTTTGTTCATTTACTTATATGTATTTTTATTATTTCTCATGTTTTGTTCTGTTCAATTTTGATGAAACAATAATAAAGACAAATTTGCCTTTAATACTGACTGCTAAACTCTGCTTCATTACTTACTACTGACCTGCTGTATTACTACTGACCTCTGAGTTATACTTCGTTACTTACTACTGACCCCTGAACCTTGCTGCATTATTACTACTGACCCCTGAACTCTATGTTACTAGTGGCCTCTGAATTATACATTGTTACTTACTTCTGACCCCTGAACCTTGCTGCATTATTACTACTGACCCCTGAACTCTGCTGCATTACTTGCTACTGACCCCTGAACTCTGCTGCATGACTAATGCACCCTAGATAGGCTTGTCCACTCCTACTTCCACCATTACCTATCCATACCACTCCACACCCCCCTTAACCAACTAAACTTTACAAAAAACATGACACCATTTGGAGTAAATGGCCAACATGGCCTTTTATTAACAACTTCACATTTTAACATACATCAACCGTTCCTTAACGGAAACCAAAGAATTGTTGTTGGTCTTCAAAGGCACCCACAAACGATCCAAAATGCACCTGCGGACAACCCTATACACTAGGCCTCCAGCCGCAACCAACCAGCTCGGAGACAACCATACCGTCCGCAGTGCAGCACCACCACCTTCCAGTTAAACCTTGGTTAACTGGGAATATCCACCGGGCCCCCCATACCACGGATGGGGTCCCACACCATTGTTCCAAGATGAGAACCGCCTCCAAAGACCAACAACCGCCCACGAACCAACAGAAAAACCCACCTTTTCAACTGGTGTCCATTTTTTATTTTTTTTTGCTCACCTGCCCCCGGACGAGACCCTATACCCAACCAAACAGGGAGGGCGGCAGGGAAGCTCTGGTCCTTGCCACGTCCAGCTCCACTGACGCCCCTTCCGCAGAACCCCCCACCCTAAGGTACCACAGACCCCTCCTACACTCCACATCTGCCAATACTATAATTCCCCAATCAATTCCCCACCCCCTGGAGCTAAATTTAACCCTTTCCGTTCCCTACACCACTCTGGGCCTAGTCATGTATGCCCTGCGCTATTTCCATTCTTCCCTATTCGCTACGGGCATTTCTTTACTTACTACTGACCCCTGAACACTGCTGTGTTACTACTGACTTCTAAATTCTGCTGAGTTACAACTGATCTCTGATGCATTACTACTAACACCTTAATTCTGTTGCATTACTTTCTACTGACCCATGAACTCTGCTGTATTACTTACTACTGACCCATGAACTCTGCTGTTTTACTACATGTTACACAATCCTGACTCCTGCACTTTGTGCATTATTTGTTCCTGACCCCTGAACTCTGTGTTACTTACTTTTGGACCCTGCACTCTGTGCATTACACACTCCTGACCCATAGAAGTGTATTCTCAGGTTTTAAAAAGTACCTTTTGTTGAGAATAAAAAGAGAACTCCCCTCAGGGAGAACCATGTACATTAAAGGAATTTTAACAATCGTTGTTGCAGATTCCTACCTGTTGTTATTCGGAAGAAATAGCTGTTTGTATGTGTTCATGTGTGAATCTGTATGGAAGTAATTTTATAATTATCAATCAGCTGCTGCACTTGCAGGGTTACAATGAGAAAAGTAGCAGGGTCTGCATCCCTTTAGAAGTGATTTCCCTGTGGGAGTATATCACCAAAAAAGTAATTTTTTTTCCAGGGAATGCCCAACATATGACTTGTGTCTTAGTGCAGACATCTGGGGAAATCAGTAAGCCAATCACTGAAGCAGAAAATGACATTTCTGGGGGATGTTTTGTACACCATCTGTGTACAGAACTCCACTAGGTTCTCATACTGTATTGCATTTTACAGTGCTGCAGATTGAAGAGAAAAGTGTCAGCACCTGTGGTATCGAGCTCTTAATCCACAGCTTGGGGTTCCCCAGGGCGCGGAGTCTGAGCCCCAGCCTGCTTCTTCACCAGAGCCCCTGATGGTGGGGATGGACTTGGAGCAGGCTGGAACCAGGTCGCGGCCCCCAATGCACCCAGCTGAGGTAGAAGAGACCGCTAGCGGGAGCAGGGTACAATGGGAGTAGACTCAGGAGATCCAGTAGGCAAGCTGAGGTGAGGACAGGCGGAAGACAAGCGATGTCAGGAACGAAGCCGGGGTCGGTACACAGATATACAAAATAGGAGGAATGTCAGGGACAAGCCGGGGTCGGTACACAGATATACTTGAACGGATTCTCAGAGGACCACAGGGGAGCTCAGACAACAACATTGCTCAGGCAAAGTGAGACAGACTGAGCATGTCTTAAATAGATAGGCCAGCTAGGAGGCCGGCCAGGAAGTGATGAAAGGGAAGCACATAAAACCCAGGGAATAGCAGATGACGCCCATAGGTGAGCACAGAGAAACACACATGTGAAAGAACAGCAAGGAGGTAAGACAAACAAGAGGCTGCTGCAGGCTAATGTGTGACAGAAAGGTAATTTTTAATAACATTCAATTACAACATGGCTTGTGTCACAATAGGATATGCTATATTATTTTTTTTTATTTGCCATTTTTTTCCACCACAAAAGTGGAGCTACCATTTAATAAATCATATCCCTTTAAAGCCCTTCCACCTTTGAAGCAATTTGGCCACACCCACTAATCATCACTGCTCACTATGCCTCTATTCAGAATACTGTACAGGACCCTGAGGATGGGTCCTGGATGGATACTATGTCTCGCCCATTTCTGGGCTGTGGTCCCTTTAAGGGGCGTGGTTATGGTGTATTCAGGGGTTCTAACCTGTGAGAAGTTCTGGGATAGTTCAATACTAAAGGAGAGCACTGAATTACAATTCTCTCCACATTAATAATTTCCTATTTGGGACCTGGAATTCTGGAGCGATGTTTGGGTGGAGAGAACCTCCATCCCTGATTACGGAGACTCCGGTCCTGAGAGCGTTAAACTAGAAGTAAACCCAATTTTGTATCTTTTACCTACAGGTAAGCTTACAAAAAAGCTTACAGTACCTGTAAAATGAATATCTCCTAAAGTTCACCATTTAGGGGATATTCACTCTTTTTGTCAGCTGGAGCATGTACTCTGAAGGAATGGCATACCCGTGCCGTTCCTTCAGAGCACATGTCGCGGGACTCCCGCTTGCATGTGAGGGAGTGACGTCATCGCGGCTTGGCCAGTCAAACAGCCAAAACTTGTGAACTCGGAAGGAAGACTGGGTGAAGATGGAAACCTCTGCAGCATGGACACCGTGCCACTGGAGGGCTTCATTTTAAGGTAAGTCCTGCATAATGTGCTAGTATGTGATGCAAACTAGCACATTATGACCAGGGGCGGACTAACCATTCGAGCACTCGGGCACTGCCCGAGGGCCCGGGATCTGTAGGGGGCCCAATGAAATGCCCCTGGTACCTTTTATTTATAGGCTTTTTTGAGTGTGGGCAAGGACACAGGGGCCCCATGATCCCCTATTGCCTGGGGGCCCCCATGAGTTGTCAGTCCGCCCCTGATTATGACATTACTTTCCAGGGGATTTTTTAATTTTTTATTTTCAAGCTATGGTTTACTACAGCTTTAACCACTTTCTGACCACTCTATAGCAGAACTACTGCTACAGGGCAGCAGAGCTGTGCAAAATCACGTATAGATTAGTGATTTTGTATTTCCGGGTAGGGGGCACACAGCTACAGATGTCAATCACTGTGTCCAGGCCGGAGATTCCCCGCCAGTACCCGGCGATCACCGAGTATCATTGATGAGGGGAGAGGTCTGTATGTAAACAATACAGATCTTTCCTCTGTCAGCTGTAGCATGCTGCTTTGTATTGCTCTGTATAGCAGAACAATACAAAACAGCATGCCTCCCTAGTAAAACACAGCACACAGTAAAACACACACAGCACACAGTTAGCCCCTTGATTGCTCAGATGTTAACCCCTTCCTGCCCAGTTCCATTAGTACAGTGTCAAAAATCCATTTGTAGATGCTATAACTTTCACATAAACCAATTAATTTACACGTATTGGGATTTTTTTTTAGCAAAGACATGTAGCAGAATACATTTTGGCCTAAATTTATGACGAAAGTTGATTTTTTTTTTATTTCTTTACTGGATGTTTTATAGCAAAAAGTCAAAAATATAGTTTTTTTTTTTTCAAAATTGTCGGTCTATTTTTTTCTAGCGCATAAAATAAAAAAAGCAGAGGCAATCAAATACCACTGAAAGAAAGCTCCATTTGTAGGAAATAAAGGACATACATTTCATTTGGGTGCAGTGTTGCATGACCGCACAATTGTCAGTTAAAGTAACACAATGCCAGATCGCAAAAAATGGCCTGGTCAGGAATGGGGGTAAATTCTCTGGAGGGCAAGAAAGCCTCCAGGAAGCAGCACTTAAAGTGGCTCTAAAAGCTGAAGGTGTTTTACCTTCATGCATTCTATGCATGAAGGTAAAAAATCTTTAGTGTGCAGCAGCCCCCTCAGCCACCCCCCCCACCCCAATACGTACCTAAGCCTAATCCAAATCCAGCAATAAGCATGAGAGCATTGGCTTTCCTGAGTCTCTCTCTCCTCATTGGCTCAGACACAGCAGCCAGTGAGATGGGAGCAGGGGGCAGGGCTAAGCTGTGCTCTGTGTCTTATGGATGGTCGAGCATGCACAAGTGCCCTGCCCCCACAGCTTGCACAGGGGAGGAGCCAGGAGTGCTGGCGAAGGGACCTGAGAAGAGGAGGATCAGGGCTGCTCTGTGCAAAACCATTGTACAGAGCAGGCAAATATTTATTTTGTTAAATAAAAAAAAATCATACCTTTACAATCACTTTAGGACAAGAATCTCCTAGTGCTGGGGTGGAGGAGAAGGCGTTGTGGAGAGAAGACTCTGGCTGTGTGCTTAATCTGGACTTTCCTAGCTGTGGGTAAATCCCTTTTATGTTGGCCACTGTGATAGATAAGTGGACTTTTGTTGCTGAATTTCAGCTATATGCGTTTGCTGCTGCAAGCTATGTCTTTAGTCGCCCTAAAGTAAAGAAAAACTTATTATGTTTATGAGAAATGGCTTTGCCTCTGATCCCAAAGCACTATCGCGGTAGCTATACACCTGAACCTTAAAGTACCCAAAAAGAGTAGGGGGCTGGTTTTGCGGTGGTGGTTAAAAGTTGGCATAGTCAATAGGGTGTACCTGGATTTCATTTTGAAAATCTGGTAGCCTTATTTTTGTTCTCAGAAATTATGGTTTAAATATATGCAAGCTTTATAGTAAAGCCTATGCTTTTGGGATCCAGGCAAATGCTCCTTTTGTACCTTTTCTATGAGGGAAGAAATAAAAGAGAGAGACTGTATTCAGCCAGGCTTGTTCACTGCTCATTCAAGCATCTTGTGAAACAACTTCAACATTACAGAGCAAGTCCGGTGGAATGTGACTTACTGCTACTAGTTACACCATAACGAGTTAACGAGAGCCTTTGCAATCAGAAGACAGAGAGAAACATGCATGTTGTATAAATGGATTTATACATATTAGGCTGTGAATGCACAGATGGCCATGAGATGTAAAGCAATTATTTCCATGGTTCTATTTTGTATATTAGGAAAAAATATCTTATTTTTCATTAGTGTTGGAAGCAATGTCATAAATGCAATTCTGTATTTCTGTACAGTTCTAATGTTATGCACCACCATTTGGTGTTCAGTAAAGTAAATGCCTTCAGCATAAACTACACTAAAAACCCAAAAGTTAAAAACATGTTTTGCCTCGTTCCTGTGCTTGAGATGGGATCTTACCCTAGCATGTAACTTTGTTGTCAAACTATTGCTGTATGCTCATATTTTGGCAAAGTGGGAGCATTTCTTTCCTATAGGATTACTGGTCAAACTTGAAAATATTGGTGCTTGCTCTGCAACCTGGATTTTAATTATTTTCTGTTGTAGTAATCTCCTTAGACTTGTACCTATTTATTCGTAAACATTGCTATAATCTTTTTTATAAAATCAGTTGAGTATTTACATGCATGTACTGGCCCACCCCATATAAAAAAGCTGAGTAAATAGTTATGGGGCCCAGCCAGTGAATATTGTAATTGATATTTTAAACCAAGAGCCAAAAAATACAAAACCACACCCCCCCCCCCACCCCCCCCCCCCCAAAAAAAACCTTTTAATTTATTGGTTGTTGAGATTCATGCTTAGTGTCGAAATGCCAACATTGTGACCTACTGGGACTGGTAACAATCCAGCAGTCTATGTGGAACATTTAATGAAACAAGAGGCCAAGGGTGCAGGAGAGGTGTGTCATTGCCAGAGCTGTTTGGGTGACCCCTTGAGGGATTCCCCAAAGGTTATTCTGAACCACACTGGCTCTTAAAGCAGCAAGAACACAAATAGAAGTTCCACAGAACCTCTTTATAAAATTGTGCTTAGAAGCAGACAATACAAGGTTCCCTTTCACAAGACCATGGAACATCAACCAAACTTCCCAGTTAGAGAGAATAGAGAAACAGATTTTAGAAAAGGAGAGCTCACAAAGTGTAATAGTAAGCAATGAATCATTGACACTTTGCAGCTTATCAATTTTACAGTGTCATACACTCTATAAATACATCATTAAATGTATGTTGTAGTAGTTACAAATTTGATATAAAGTACAATTAGTTGAAAGCAGAGAGCAATAATCGCATCTTAATATAAAGATGACAATTATAAAATGGTTTCTAGTATAAACAACATAATATAAAACTAAGCATAGATGGAGTTCAGCAGGGAGCAGACAAATTTTGACCTGTGTGTGGTTCCCCCTGTCTGACAAAAGTCAGTCGTTAAATTGACCTCTATCGAATGGACACACTAAAAAACGTCTCCTATATCCTACGGATAGAGTCCTCAAGAGATGTAAGAAATTCTCATAGCACCTGTCAAAAACTGAAATGTTAGCTTTGCTGATGGCCAACAACTTTAGGGTGCTTGCTTTGGACTAAAGAGAACACTTTCTGCTGTATTAACATATAAAGATTTTCAAAAGAATACCTTTCTTAGTAGAATGATCGTCTTCTATTTAGACATCAGTGAGAAGAATATCACCAACAAACATTTCAGAACCAGGACCTTATGATACAGGCCCAGTGTAGTCCTGAAATGTTTCTTGGTGACATTTTTTCACTGATGTCTGAATATAAAACAATCATCCTACTATGAAAGGTATTCTGGTGGAAAACCTTATTAAACTATCCTGGAATATGTCTGCAGATCAGAAAATCACAAAAAGTCACAAGTCTTTCTCTGCATACTATATCCAATGGTCAGCATGACCACCAACCAACTAGTAGTTTTTAAAGGATTGCTCAACTATGGCAGACTCAATGTTTTTTCAAATGACATGTTTACTTTAAGAAGCTTGAGGTTTTTAAAATGCATATGTTTATATGAAAATATTTTAGACTTGAAAAACCACTACTGGTATTTACATTTAAAGAGGACTATGGGAACTGCCGTTCTTGCCCTCCGTAAAAATAGCCTGACTGTTATGCTGAACCAATAGCTTCAATACTTTCTCTGCCACTGACCCAAAACAAATATGCAGCCAGATCTAATAGGAGGTATGAAGTGTGGGAACCTAGAGATGCATATACAGTACCTACATGTGCTTTCATTCCCCTCTGCTACAGTCAAAGGACAGCCGCTTAGAAAGGGCAAAGCTTTGATGCTTCTTGGAAGTGTTGGTACTGACCAGCTCCCTCACACACATTCCTATTGGCCAAGGAGACATCTCTGACCTTTCCGGACAACATCAACACAGGCGGGTCCTAGCATTGGCCAGAAGTGTCAGAGGTGCCCATTCAGAATGGATGGTATTTGGTCATAGCAGGGGGGAATAACAGCTGTTGCAGATATGCTATCAGCACTCTATCTCTCTTATTGATGGGTATGCTGCTGCAGTATAGTTTCTTTTCTCACTGCCTGCAGTAACACTTCGTTTATTCATGCTATATCCCAAACGTGTATGAAAACATTTTTTTTAACACTTTCTGAAAATTGTGAAACCCAAACTTAGCAATGAAGACCATTGCAGTCTATCAGAGGTTAATTCTGATACTATATTCTAGCCATCTTCAAGGCTAATAATCAGAAAAAATAGCATGGGGCAAAAAGAAAAATTCAAAATACTGTACTTTCAGGAGTGGGTTCTTTTCATGTGACTTCAAGGGTGACATGGAAAAAACACCAATCCTTTAAATTCTATGCTTGGGAGATACCTTAAGCTGTATGTAGTGTTACAGAATAGTGCGATTTTCACAGATAGCATCAGTGACATAGTATTCTAGTATCACTAATTTGGGATTTGTAATTGATTTTTTAACTAATACAGTTAGCTTGGCTAGTGTAGGGGCCCTGCCCTAAGCTTTATTGTCCCTTATTAATCCACTCGCTTAATTTACCACTTGCTACCTGCCAACAGTACATTTACTTCTGGTGGGTGGCTTCCCCAGGCTTCCATTCATAACAGCTTGCTCACTATTGTGATGCTGTGGTTGGCCCATGGCTATCCCATTGTATCTGGGCCAATCACAGCACCCTGTACCATGTTATTAGCTGTAGCCAATCGCAGCATCACAATAGTAAGCAAGCTGTCTTGAATGAAAGTCATTCATGACAGTTAATAAGATTGCTTATAACAGTGATCATCACTGTTATAAGCAATCACAGTGTAAAAAAACAAATAAACATCAAATTAAAAAATTATATATTTTTTAAATAATGTCACTAGTCAGTGTGCCTGATCACGCCACACCAGTCATATGATGATGCTGTACTGCACTGGTGACAATATTTTTAAAAAAAACTTTGGGAAAAAAAAAACTAATTTTATTTAATTTCTTAATTTTTTAAAAAAATTGTAACAATTACAGCTTCAAAAACTTTCCATGCCTCTTACTAAATAACTCAGACTGTCTACTTTCCAAAAAAGGGGTTATTAGGTAATATTTTTACTGTCCTGATATTTTAGGGTCCCAAGAAATGGTATAGACCATCAGTACATCAGGACTGATGAATTTTCAAATATACAGTATATACCATAATTTGTAGAGTCTATAACTTTAACACAGACTAAATAATATACACTGATATGGGTTATTTTTTACCAAAGAAATATAGCAGACTATATTTTGGCCTGAATGTATGAAGAAAGATTATTTGTTTGCCAAATCTTATAACAGAAAAAAAGAACAATGTGTTTTTTTTTCAAAATGTTCAATATTTTTTCAATTTATATAGCAAAAAAATAAAAAAACAGTGGTGATTAAATTCCACCAAAAAAGCTCTATTTGTATGAAAAAATAATATAAATGTCATTTGGGTACAGTGTTGCATTACAGATCAATTGCCAGTTAAAGTAGCTAAATAGCTAAAAGTAGCTAAAAATGCATTGGTCATAAAGGGGGTAAAACCTTCCAGAGGTCAAGTGGTTAAATACAGCAGCAGTTTCTGAATCTAATTAATTTCAACTTGAAAAAG